GCTTAACACCTGAGCATGACAAATGGTCCTTGAATAAAAAACAAACACACATGATATTCCCTCACACAAACACCACTTTCTCTTTCACAAACACACACACCTACCAGTTTAAATACCAAAAATCCCTCTCTTCCAGCACCCACGCGCAACTCACCGCTGCGATCTGTGCGTGAATCCAAAAGCTAAAACTTTGACACGACAACACCGATACAGAAACGGGCGTTAGGCAGACACGGTGTTGTTTACCACCCTTCTAACACTGCACGCACACTATACATGCCACATGACCACATTACCACTTGCAGCTGCTCACTATTCTCACCGACTGCCTTGACAGGACATAACTAGTGTGCGTGTCACACATGATGAGCTTACAGTAGTGCATGCTGCAACTTTAGACACTGACGTTTCTGAAATACCTCCGAGCTCCATTTATCCTCTAAATGACACGTCACTGTAAAACAGGTGAGGCTTTTTGGCCAGACAAAAAAATAAAATAAAAGCTCTGCAGTATTTTTCTAAATTAATTATTTAAAAGTTCAAGTTTCACACAACTGAGACACTTGAATTTTTCTGTGGCTGAGTGCATTAATGGCTGGTTTGGCTCAGTCTCAAGGGTCCTGAAGCTTAATGGCGAAAGCTTAATGGAGGCCAAATAAATTGTCACTTGGTAGCTGTATTTGTACTAGATTTAGTATTACCCTGGATCTACTATGCTCAGTCCCATCTCCGTATTTTTATTCTGTGACTCAGCTAAAGAAGCTTTACAAGAGTCACAGTTCAAAATAAACCTCATTGGCTCCACTTTAACATCTCTTCCCCCAACTTTTAGCTCAATATTTCACAAACTGCGGGCCGTGAAGGGCCAGTATCTGCAAAGTATGGAGTGAAAGTAAGTTGACTAAAATACTGAAAATACTGTAGCATTATATACGTGACAGAAAATAATGTATAATGCTTAAGAGGTGGACTTTAAATTTTCCACAGTGGGGTAGTTACAACTTCTTGCAATTCTCTTCTAATATGTGACACTACAGGGGGAAAAATGACATCAACAAACCCATCAGTAAACAGAAGTTGATCATTTCTAATTTGACAAGTTCCAAATATTTTACTTTATTCCTCAAAATAATAACAAAAAAAGATTGCATTTGTCATTTAAATACCTTGACAACTCTAAGAAAATTAAAAAAACAAACAAACAAAAACAAACTACAAATCAAAACATAGACTCCACTAATGCCCTTTCTTAGGGCCTTTTATTCTTTAAGGGACACTTTTGATTGCACTGAACTGAAATCAAAACTCTCCCCGCGTCTCCAGCGTCTCCCCCGTGACCTTCAATCTCTAAGCTGCAAAAAGAGACAGACGGACCCTGCGCAACCCTGGGGCCGTCGCCAGGCAGGTAAAAACAGAAGCAGCACATCTCTCATTTCACATTTAAGATATACAGCTAGCATGCCACGGCTGTCTGGAGGACTGACAGAGGAGGTGCATGTTCTGATCTGCAGATATGAAGCGATTTACTGTAAAGAAAGTTTGTTTTTTAAGTTTGTTGTAGGGGTTATTGAGCTGTTTAATAGCTGCATATCAGACAGTATTTAATGCACTTCTTTGCAACAGGTGACAGTAAAGTAAGTCTGACAAAACAAGTACAGTCAGGTTTATAAGTATTAGTAATTTTGCCTCTGTACACCGCTGTGGTTAAAAACATTATGAATTACAGCCATTTTTAAACACAGTGCCTCATTTATGGATGATCTAATTTTATTTAGAAGTGTGCAGCAACTCTGCTTTGGCCAAATTAACCCTCATACAAAATATTTTATCAGAGTACCCAAACATATTTTACACAGAAATACCGTTTTAATGGCTGAGTTTGTGTTTATCATACCTGTACTGTTTCCTTTATCCATGAAAGCATTTTAAATTGTTCTAAATTTGATTTATTTAGACAATCTTGGTCTGTTGCTTCTTTCTTCTTTCAGTGATACTAGAAAAAACATTTTACAAACATTTAAAAAAAAACATGTTTGACTGGATTATCTGATAATAAAGTCATCAAAGTCAGACTGCTTTTGGATTCAAACTAATAAAAAATCTTGGTAATTTGTAATATTTAAATAGTTCTGTGGAGAATCACTGAAGTAGTAAATCTTGCTACTCTAGTTCAGGCCACAGTTGACTTCAAAACACTGCAATGTGGTAATAGCAAATTGAAAACTACTATAGAACAAGCCTTTAACTTTAGCAAGTATACATATATTGCCACTCAGATTTTCATGATCTTCCTACATAAAATATAGACCGACAAATTCACATGAAACTGTTTTTTGTTTTTGACTACATGACAAAGATTTGAAGATAAGAAGAAAAACACTGAGAAATCGAGATCCACCAAGAAGCCGGAAGGAAGCAAACGGTGAGAAACAAATGTTGCAAGCAACAGGATGACGAGGCCGGAGAAAAACAAAGTGACAGAGATGGGAAGTGAAAGTTGTGTCTCAAGACAGCACAGAGACACCAGAGTAACACTAAAAATGTTCAGTTGGTGGGGCAAACAGGCAGCTCCAACCGTGCAAACTGTAGTGTCAATCATCGCGGACTAACTATTACAGGAATTTAAAACAAGCTCTTATACAAATTTACTCCTAAACTTGTAATTCTGCACTGAAAACAAGCCTGTCATTACACTGCATTTTACTGCACTGCTGCAAGCCATCAAACTCAGAAGCATCAAGCATGCCTGAGAGTAAACAGTCAGAAATCCCTGTGAGCAGCTGCTCCAACATGCAAAATGCAGAATGCTTCCATTTCACTGTAATTTAATTCCTGAGAAATTATACAAAGCAGAGGTGGGTAATCATAGGTTTCAACCTCACCTCTATTATCTTCCCACCCACAGAGGAGACAGTAACACTGCTGCAGATCAGAAGACAATGAAAGCTTTCCACGAGGAGACTCTGAGATGAAACGTAACGAAGTGAGAGATGGTGCAAAGACACAGAATCTCTGCAGGTAAATCAGGTAAAACAGTCGCTACTTTTTAAATGCCTGGTTATCGTATGCAGGGTTTTGACTGGATGCCTGGAAAAAAGGAATGGCTAATTTTTGCTTCCCCTTTCATTATGTTCCACTAAAGGTGTAAACAAATCGCCCACTGCTCAATTAAAGTGCATAATATGTATCTACCAAGGAAAATGTGCCTTCGGGGGATAGTGTGAGACACAAATAATCAGTTACTGCAATCGCTCTATTTTCACTGCCTTCCATCTCCTTTCAACTTCCTCCACGGGGAGGAAAAGTCTTAAGAAGTCTACTTTTCCTACAGTTTCCTGTGTTTAGTCACAGCTACTCTGATTGCTATGAACCTGACTGTTTAGATATTGTTAAAAAAATAAAGACTGTTTATTTTCTACCTGAAGTTTGAATGCCAATTCAGTTTGGTTTGAGAAGGACAGAGAAACACTGACACTCTGAAATAATCTCATTATCAGCCAAGCAAGTAATACCTGAGAAAGTTAAGTATCATAATATGCATCAATTTTGACACTGATTTAACTTTTTCAATCATGATTCAGGTAAAAAGGACACATCTCAGGTGTGCAGATTTGACGCCCTTCTTGTTAAACGTAACAGTAACGCGAACGCGTTACTGTTACGAACATTTTTGAGGATTTTAACTGCTGAAGATGCCACGCTGGGCTCTAAATAACAGTAAAGTGAATTTTTTATTTTTTTGAATGGACTGAAGAAAAATGCATTAGATTAACTGAGAATGAAAATTAGGATTCTGGCCTTTTAGGGGCTGACTACACTTATAAGCAGGATTGGACATATGCTTGTATATATACCATTTATAGGGGATTTAAACATAAACCTTTCACAGTATATTTTTGTTTCACCATCCCAATGAAGCCAGACTGCAATTTGGTATTTCAGGGTCAATTCGGAGGGTTATTTCACACTTCTAAATGTAGAATTTGAGACTTTATCAATTAAATTTTGTGATATTTTCCTCACTGCAGCAAAGAGAAGTGCAGGAATGTAATCGACTTTGAGTTTAACTTGAATATGTGCTACTGCAGAAGGAGACCCAGCTGAGCACACTTGAGAGCTGGATGTGGATGGCTTGGGTGCTGTCATGCTCTGCTAGACTCCCCCTAAATGCTTTGGTTATCTCCAGTAGCATCTTTTGGCAGGCTGTGGTGTCATAAATCATTTCGTTTGACCCGCACATGTCACATGAAATGGCTTATCAGCGGTTTCGAGTTATTAAAACATTTCCTCTCACCTAACCGGTCGCATGATTGATTATGAAAAACCAAAGCATTATCAGCCAACTACATCTGTTTGCATTCAGCGTATTGATCATAACTGTACATAGGCACACATATATAATATAATATAATATTTAAATATATATGTATGTATGCTTTATTTACACCCCAGGTGTGGGCCGAATTTTATAATGACTCTTTATAATGTCAAAAAAGTATTAAATTTTGCTTTAGAAAGTTTATGTGTTTGGCAATCATCCAAGAAACGTAAAATTGACAGTTTTTTGAATGGAGTAACGTTCCTCCCATATGAGAGGACTAAAGTTTTGATTTAAAAAGTGGGCAGGACTTAGGTCTAACACTCCGGACAGGGACGGACACCGATTTGGACTCTCGTTTGAGTCTAACCTTTCTTTAAACAGGTTTATTAAAGACTTTCTGGACTCGTATTTACGTTTAAATAGGGTCAAGTGAAAGCTCATTTTTAGTTCTGCCTACTTCTGGGAAGCTGAGTGACATCTGAGCGGCCATGTTGCAGGAAAGTTTTAACTCCCTGTTCACCTTGTTCCACCGAATGAATGTGTTCCTCAGACCTCTCACTGACTAACTCTGGTACATTTCACACCGAAAGTCGTTGTTAATGCGGATAAATCGTGAAACTACTGCTCCAGCATCATGTTATAAGCCTTTAACATCCTCTGAGAGACGAGCTGCACTCACCGGGATTATTTTCGGCAGGTATTCGCGTCCAAACACCAACATCAACACTGAAACGTGTGGCTCCGACTTTAGATGTATCTCGGTTTCTTTCTTTCTTTTTTCGCGGTACTTTCTGGCGTCCTCCTCGGTTTAAATAACAGCGTCCCTCGGTCCCGTTACTTATTTCCGTGACGAGCCATGTTTCATACCCGCTGCTGCTGCCTCTGCTGCTGCACCGGTTGCTGCTGCTGCTGTGATGAAGAAGTGAACTATTTTTGAAAGAAAGTCACTCCTCTCAGTCAGTCCTGCCCCCTCCCCTCGGCTCAGAGCTGCCACTGACACAAAACGAGCTCACTTCACAGTCAGTAGACAGTTCGTCCGACTTTACTCGCTCAATAAAAGGACATGTGCTTCAAGAATAAAAGGAATGCCGACTGAGCTGCATAGGGGGCCCAGGGCAAAGTTAGCGTTTGGGTTCCCAGCCCCCCCCCCAAAAGAACCTTATCATGTCCCATCTCTAACTAAAAATACTAACTATCTTAGTGCTACAGTGCTGTGAAAGTATTTGCCACTTTCCTAATTTCCTACATTTTTGCATATTTTTCAGGCTTAAACATGTCAGATCATCAAACAATTTTTATATTAGACAAAAATAATTCAAATAATTACAAAACGTAATTTTTTAATTATAATTCAATTTTATTTATTTTATTTTATTTTATTTATCTATCAGTACTCCTTCTTAGTATGTCATTTATAAATAGAGATATGTTCCACCATGCAAAACAAAAAATATGATCATAGTCATAATAATATATTTGCATTTATAAATGCCATATTAAGGATGACTATGTATGACCGATGAATTAAATTAATACCTTAACAATATTTAATAGTGTGTCATTATTATATAGTGCTACCAGTGTTTGACATCTATCAGTCTGGAAATGGTTACTCCAGCAAATTACAGTGAAAGCCATTATCCGCAAATGAGAAAACTTGGAACAGGTGTAAATTTTCCCAGGAGTGACAAGAATGTGTCGACGACTCATACAGAAGGTCAAAATACAACCCAGAACATCTAAAGAACTGCAGGCCTCTTTTGCCTCAGTTAAAGTCAGAGTTCAAGATTCAACAATAAGAAAAATACTGGGCAAAAATCGCATCCATGGGAGCGTTCCAAGATGAAAACCGCTGCTGACCAAAGAGAACACAAAGGCTCGTCTCACATTTGCTAACAAAACAAAACAAAACATTTTGTGGACTGTAACAACAGTTGAACTTTTTGGAAGGTTTGAGTCCTGTTACATCGGGTACTGTATGAAACTAGTACAGCATTTCTTGAAAAGAACATCATGCCAACAGTTCTCCTGCTTAAAAAAAAAGAAGAATTTAGAGGAGTTTCCTTAATAACTTTGTGCACAGTTTCCATTTTTCCTCAGTACATCCATGTGCATGAACCAGAGAAGCTTTCCAGGTGCAGCTTGCTGATTATTGCACTTCCTCCCCCAGGCCCATTCACACTCTTACCGGGCCCATAAACTTTATATTATGATGACATCACACAAATAAAAGCCACTTTTTTTTTACTTGGTTTTTCAAATATGACTCTCATGGGCTGCAAGCAGCTGTTTTTACAGATGTTGTTTTATAATGATAGTCTACAGGGATAATGCTTTTTGGGTCACATGACATTTGTGTCATTGCCATACTGTGATTGACCACTAGGATAAACCAGCCCCAAATATCAATGGTAGTGCTGTGTACTGCGTTCGTGTCCAATATTCTGTCATTTTGGCTACACAGAAGGGAAACATCCAGCATGTAGCCTGACAGCAATGATCCTGTGCCAGTAGGTTAAATGCTGATTGTTTGAAGAGTTTCCTTTAACAGAGAAAGACACACAAAGATAATATCAAAGATCAAAAAGGACAGGTCAGAAGCCTACACAATGTCCCAAGTGGACAGTGTGTATTGTTTTTAAGTCTCTGTTTGACTCCACTACAATAGTTCTTTGTCTAATACAACTTCCCTATAGCAGGGCTAAACTAAAAAACAAACAACATGAACAAAAGAAGTCCAGATTACTGGTTGTCCACCCATTTATTTTTTGCAGTCATGTTATAAGCAATGAGCATTTTCATTATTGCCATCTTGGCGTTTTGAAACCAGACGTGATGACCTAGTGTGCAACTGCTCACTCACTGGCTGTCGACTTGTGATTTACAAATAGCAAATGAGCATATCCTGGATTACCCTCCTTGCTGACTCTTGGAATGACCATAATTTACCAAATGAGCTCAATGTTTTATTAGGTAGGACCTGATATGTGTGACAATCCCATGAAGTCATCAGGAAAGTGTTGATGAGGTCAAAGGTGAGGGCCAGAAGTCATTTTGCCAACCACAGGAGTCACTAAAGGAACTGCATGTTTAAGGAGCTCCCATGCTAGCTTTTCAGACCCAGAAGGTAGTCCATCGTTTACATTCTCTACCACTACAATGGTACAGCACTTAATGCATCCATTCCTGGCAGTTACCTGGAAGCCTCTGTAGTGGGAGTCTGCACTCCAGCAGCTTTGCATTGCAACCATACACCACTGCAGCTGCTTGAATGAAATTTGAGGATAAGGAGGAAAATTACCTTTGAGAATATTTTAAATTAATGTTTGTACTAAAGTGATGCTAAAGCTGAGCCTACAAACTCCAGTGACTCAAGCAAGGAACAAGATCCAGAGCTGTGCTGCAGTTATGGCACAAAATGCATTACCACCTGTATCATAGTACTCTTCACAAACAGTGAGATCATGTTCTTTGAGCATTACAAAGTCTAAGCTTAACTCATTACTTGCATAAAGCTGCACTGTAAAGATTACAGTGTAGCTAATGTAATATCACATTTATAATATATGTATCTGATACATAAGTTTTTTGTGAGACCTCTACCTCATTAGTGGGATTTTTTTTCAAGAAAAACCCAAATAAATTGATGAAAAATGCCATATGTAGCAAAAATGATACCAATTAAAACACATATATAAAAAAAATATTTAATTTCTTAAAAGAAAAAAATCCAAATTGTTTGATAAACACTCCAATTTGAAAATGTTTTTAATTTTCTGGAAATGATGTCATGTTTCAGGTTTTTTAGCGTTCAGCATTGTTTTTTGTCTATTTTTAAAAGGAAAAATGCAATTAATTAAGGTGAATATTTGCTAGTTTCCAAATCTGCTGTGAAATTTATCTCAGATTTGTTCATTTTTTTGGTTTTCCACAGCTGATTAGATAAAGCCATTGGAATAAAGACATTCAGTATGTCCAGGAAGAATACTTGAAATGTCCAGGCAACTTTTTAGTACTGAAAATAATGACTGACACGGCACTGCAGCCTTACAATATTGTTATCATGGATTGTTGTGACCTTGATCGTCAGCTTCTGTGTGTTAATTACTGCTGTAGCATTACTGGCACAATGCCGGGCCACCTCTGTGTCTCTTCCTTTCACGCAACCTTTACTCTCCCAAGGTTGTGAAATTCAACAGCGCTGTGTGATCACACCACACACACGCACACACACACTTATCTACACTGGAGTGTTTCATTAGAGTAGATGAGCTTACAATGAAAATTAAAATTTGATCGTATTATGACAGCTACTTGTCTTTCTGATTAAGTAATTACGCACACTCCAGTAAACACCTCTCCTTCCCACACTGAGAGCTGTTGCATTATAAACACCTCTTCACTGATTATGCAGCTAAAATATTGGAAATCATTATTTGACTCTTTAATTTAGAGTGCAAACTGACTTGTTAAGCAGTTTCAGATGGCTTACTCATCACTTTGAGACATACAGTACACCTCTGTGCCGAACTTCCCTAGGTGAGTACCAAAAGGATTAATCAACACGTGACAAAGAAACCAGAAAAGGATTGATGTGTGAAAGAGCAAGAGTGCTTTTGGGAAACTGTGAGAGGAAAGAGAGTAACTCAGTGACATAATGTACAAATTGATTGCATAACAGGAAAAAAAAAATAAGAACAAACGTGACTAAAACAGTTTCCTGTTACAGGTACATCCAGATGTGTCCAAATATGTTCAGCACATAAGAGAACTTCACATCTAACATCAACACCTGCAGATGAACTGAGTTATTCATATCTACAGGCTATTAAAAAGCTATCACATCAAAATCTAAATGTGGTGGGAGAGATCAATTCCAGAAGTTCAGAGATAAATATGTTGTAGCAGGCAAAAAGACTGAACACACCTAACAGCAGCATAGCTTAAATAGAGTACAATAGGACAAAAAAAAAAAGCTCAGTTGAAAATAAAAAATAAAAATGAGGCCAAAATGTGCAAAACAGACAGAAGACATAAGAAGTTATACAGATATCTGAAAACATGGACAAGAGAAGTAGAAAAACAAACACTAATAAACTCTAAATAAAGGTTTTTATTTATTTAATGTCACAATAGTTGAATAGCAAACATGTCAATAATAACATTAATTATAACAACAACAAGAAAAAGTAAAAGAATAAAACATTTTAAAAAAAAGGTTACGGGCAGTAAAAAGCTTTAAGAGTTCAGAGCAAAGCCACAGCATGATGTCATGTTAAAGTAATCAATGAAATATGAAAAGGATACTGTCAAAAAAGGCCTTTTAAAGGTAAATGCATCTACAACAAGCTAATAACAAATAACTATTGATTGTCTATATACTGTAATGCTAAACCATGCCAATTGCAGACTATTTGGCTACAAAAATATCTACAATGCTGTTCAGGGACACTAATATGTCTATTAGTGCCTACAGTTGAAAGCTTTTTAAAGGCTGTAACATGATTGCACATCCTGAGAATCACTGAGAAAAATCCAAAGCAGAATTCAAGGGGAGTAAACAGAAATCCCAGCCAGAAAGAAAAGAACATGGGAGCCAGGTCAAAAAGCAAAGTCCAAAAGGAAGAATGAATAAATACAGAAATGAGCATAAAGGAAACCCAACAAAAAAAAAAGCAAAACAAAGATGCAACTTTAGGCTTTTCCCATTTCTCTAATTTGTGCTACCTTGTCTCCTTTGTCCTCCTTCCTCCTGCCTGTGACCTAGAAATCAAACTCACTGTGATTTGTTGTAGGATTTTCAGATCCTAGAAAACATCCAGAGGATGTATAATCTAGGACGCACAGGTGTATCCTTTACAGAAGGGTTCTTACCTTCAGTGTGTGAAAGAGGAATATTCAAACTGTAAGACAATGTCATTCATACCCACTGTTACACATGAAGTCATTAAAAACGTTTTTTTAATGAGAGAAAACAATTTATGAAGCATTATATTTAACCGACATCGCTTCACAGTGATGATGCCCCATTCTGGCCTGCTGCCTTGATTCCTTTATGCTTGAATCTCCTTCCTCATGTCTTCCGGGGGCATCTGAAGGAATAAGACATAAGGAAAGGAGCTAAGAGGACTGAAGGACGTGTAGTTGGGAAAAATGACAAAGGCTTTCAGGCAGAACGGAAGGAAAATCCAAAACAAGAGCAGGAAATGACCAAAAGACAAATCGTAAACATGGAGACAGGAGCAAACACAGTAAACACAGACTGGAAACATCACAAAAGCAAAACAGGATCCTAGATCCCAACAGCATCACAAAAACTCAGAGTCACCAAACAACAGTGTAATCAAAACCAGAACCAAGGTCTTCAAACATAAACCTTTAGTTAATATCATGAAGGCTGATGGTAACTTGCATAATTAAAAACCTGCAACATATGTTTTTGGACCAGTTGTGCAAGCTGGTGTACTGGACTAGCCCCAGGACGTAAACAAGGTACTTCCCTTCATGTTGTAAAGCTGGACTTTGCTGAAGAAAATAGGAAATCCCTTTCAGCGTCATGGTTACGCTGTGGGGTCGATGTACCTCCCAGCACATGTCACGCAAACACTCACAGATTTAAAAACGCTGCGGTAAAGTCTTCTGCAGAATTCAGATTTTTGCTTTCGACAGGCCGCATCGGGGGGTTTTTTCATCGAAGACCGAAGATTCAAAGAGGATTTCTTTAAGGAACAGGATGATGTGGACGGTGGGACTTCAGGCGGTTGCCATCTGTGTTTTCCTGCAGGTTAGTAATGTAAACTTATCATACATGTGAATTTTTATATAGTGTGTGAGATGTAAATTATATACAAAGCAGCTCTGAATGTGTGGAGGGAAACATACTCTAACTGAGAGAGGTCAAAAATGATTTACATGTTTTAAAAAGAATAGTTTGTTTTGGGGTTGCTTCTGCTCGTCAGCTTTCATTTGCACTTGATTTATTTCTTTTGTCTGTGGTGCTCAGTGTTATCACTGTATTCTGATATAGTTCAAATCTTTGAGAGGACTCTGAAATTATTCAGATATTAGCGGTAAATTTCTCACAGTAGGAGAATGATACAATTTAGAGTCTAATTTTTGCCATTAAAACAAACATAAAGTCCTTAACAACTACAAAAAAGAATAAATACTTGATAAATACTTAAAGTTTTGAGAAATCCTACTATTATAGATCCAGAATAATAACAAAAAAATAACATCAATGATAACAATAAAAGCAAAACAATAAGAAGAAGTAAAATAAATGATTTCAAAAACAACAAAGCGACACAGACATGTATTATGATAACTCATGTGTGGTATGAAAGAGCTTCTGTATCTGTGTTTGTGGAAGCTGACTGATTCACTCTGATGACTGACTGCTTCGACTATATTTCTATGCAACTTCCAGGTGCCGGGCTGTTTCCCATCATGCCTCATAAAGGGCTCTGTAGCATACTGTGGTTTCCAGAACCTCCGCTCGGTTCCTCCTCTCCCTCCTGACATCACCCATTTGTACCTGGAGATGAACCACATCAGTGAGATCAACTCCACCTCCCTGTCAGGCCTCGAGGAGCTGCAGGTGCTGGACCTCGGACGACAGCATGCACAGCTTGTGATCAGGAACCACGCCTTCAGCAGACAAAAACATCTGAGGAGGCTTTCACTCGACTTTAACGTCGGGCTTCAGCTGGAGCTGCAGGCCTTTGATGGGTTGGCAAGTCTACAGATTCTCAACCTGGATTACTGCTCACTTAAAGAATCTATACTTAGGGACAAATATCTAGAACCGCTGCTGTCCCTACAAACTCTGAGCCTCTTTGGTAACGACATAAAAAGACTCCAGCCTTCTCCCTTCTTTGTCAACATGACTCATTTGAAAGACCTAAATCTCAAGCTGAACAAAATTGATAAAATTTGTGAGTCTGATCTTGCTGCCTTTCAGGGAAAAACCTTCACAGTTCTGAACTTAAACTCAGTGTACCTGAGAGAGATGTCCAGCGGTAAGTTTGACTGGAACAAATGTGGGAATCCTTTCAGAGATCTGACCTTTCAGACACTCGATTTGTCAAGCAACGGGTTTGGTGTGGGCCAGTGCACGCAGTTCTTCAAAGCCATCGAGGGGACAAAAATCTCCCATCTGAAAATGTCAGGGCACATGGGCAGAGGATTTTCATTCAACAATCTTCCTGATCCAGATCGCAGCACATTTGAAGGCTTGCACAACAGTTCAGTCCTCTCTTTGGATCTGTCTAAAAGCAGAATATTTGCATTGCAACAAGGGGTGTTTAGTTCACTGAAAGAAGTCACAATCATTGATATATCCCAAAACAAAGTGAATCAAATACACAGAAATGCCTTTGAAGGTCTTCAGGATCATTTAAAAGTGCTCAACCTGTCACACAACCTGCTTGGGGAAATCTATTCTTACACATTTGCTTCTCTGACAAACCTCCAGGTATTAGATTTGTCTCATAATCACATTGGTGCACTGGGTTATCAGTCATTTAGTCGACTTCCCAACCTGAAATTATTATATCTAACAGGAAACTCTCTGAGAGATTTAGGCTTCCCTGCTCCTCTACCAAGTTTAGATTTTCTTTTACTAAATGACAACAAGTTGGCACCCTCATCAGTGAGCAGCATCTCTCAGTTTGCCAGTAACCTCATGCATCTAGACCTTCAGGACAACAGATTAACAGACTTGGAGGATGTCTCCACCATTTTGACCGGTTTAAAACGGCTGAGGCATCTCTTTTATGGAGGAAACAGAATCAGGAGTTGCTCCTTCAGCAGACGAGTCGGTCTGAATAATCTCACAGTTCTTGATCTTCACAGCAGCTCCCTGCAGTCTGTTTGGGCTCAGGGTAAATGTCTCAATCTGTTTGACAATTTTGGGCATGTTGCTGGTCTCAATTTGAGCTTCAATGCGCTGCAGTCACTCCCTCAAGGTGTTTTCAAGGGCCTCACTTCAGTAAGAGAGATGGACTTCTCGTACAACGCCTTAACATATATCCAGCCTGACATATTTCCAACAAGTCTAAAAGCACTCTACCTTTCCAACAACTTCATAGCCTCGCCTAACCCTGCCACTTTCCGCTCTCTGAGCTTCCTCGACCTCCGGATGAACCGATTCCACTGCAACGCTGATCTGAAGAGCTTCCTGACTTGGTTGAATGAGACCAACGTGACGCTGCTGAGTCCTGTTGAAGAGCTCAGATGTGAATTTCCTGCTAGTGTCTATAATGTTCCTCTGATAGAGTTTTCTGCTATGGTCTCACAGCAGTGAAAGCAGCTAAAAAAGAGCAGAAATGTATTTCTCAGCTGAAAAATCATGATGAAATAATCGCTGGAGGAGTGTACCAGTGTCATGTATCATTGATTAAAGTTGTGCATGTGATCTGAATTTGAAACCAACCCAGATGTAATAAAAAAAAAAAAATCCAGTTAAAGCTATGGTCTCTTCTCATGAAAAGCTGGGGGTGAATTCAGGATGTTTAAAAATTCAGGGGCCATTAAGGGGCCGCATAATATTGTGGCATGTTACTTACTTTTTGTTGAGCAAAAGTCCAGACAAGCTCAGTACTGCAATTTTAAGTCTTGTTCTTTTAGCTGCTTCCTTTAGGGGTCGCTGCAGCAGATCACCTGCCAACATCTCGCCCTATGGTCTTCATGCCTTTTGCCTGGAGGTCCATCTTCACCAGTCGTCGTCCAGCATATCCTCCATTCCTCGTCGGCACACGTCCAGAGCATGTCAACCTTACTTCTCTAACTTTGTGTGCAAACTGCTCAACCTGAGCTTTCCTTCTGAAGTACTCATTTCTAAACCTTCCACAAAAGCGATGCATGTTATTCTATGATATCAACAGCAGATGGAGCTCCAGAACAATCACTTGCTGTCCTGTCCAGGACCCCTGTGGATGCTGGAAGAGGCTCTACTTAACTTAAACAAGAAGAGGATCCATATAGGAGACAAACATATGGATGAACATTCTCCATTAGATTCAGGCTGATTTGAAGCTGCCAGAAATTCAGGGGGTTTTAACCAGATTCATCCACAACAGCACCCTATGTAGAGGTCGAGGCAAATTAAGTAGTCCATGCAAAATCTGATAGGGGTCAGGGAACGATTAAAGGGGTATGAAGTGAATCCTTTAAAAAGAAAAAAGAAAAGAAAAACAAGCACAAATTTGAGGGAAGAGAGAAAAGACTAATTGCACTTGCTGATCTATTAAACCTTTTTCAGACTGACTCGATCACACAGATATCTGCAAGTACACATTGAACATCATCCAGTAAAACTACAAAACTAATCCCAGTTACAAATATGGAGGTAAACATATTTAACATTAATTAGTTGCTTTAAATATTTTGTTTATTAGTCAAGAGCCAACATGTTAGTACTAAATATGTACTTAAGGACATGACGAGGCTGACGATATTCAAAGTTTTTGCACAATCACCTTTTTCCAAACATTTCTTTTCTGAAACTAAACACCACCTGTGGAAAATGAAGGGGAGTTTAAAGGTACATCCCATACTGCAATGTTGTCTCTCCCTGTTGTCTTAATCAGTTTCCTCTTCTCCAATTAATGGCACAGTAACTTAAGACGAGTAAAAATAGAACAAACTTAAACTTTTTAAAAGAAATGTAGACATAATGTGACTTACTGCCACAAAAGGCACAGTGTGTTGTAGCACTGCAACATCTGCTTGGGTGAATCATTTACAGTTTATTCAAATCGACGTCATATTTTGCATGCATGTTGGTGAAGCTGTAAATTTGCACATCAATCGAACGTGCTATCATTGAAAGTGTAATACCGGCTCACTTATAAGCACTTTATAACCCAACAAAGACTGCAAGAGTATTTGTTTCTTGCATGTATTTTACTTTAGGTAGAGATTTTATGTAGCGGTTTTAGAGCTCAAAAGGAGCTGTGTGTCCTTCAAGTAAGTTCAGAAATTTTATGATAAGGCGGCTGGTTTCACTGGCATCTTACAGCAGAGCCAGCCTCAGTTTGGTCATTAACTTCCTAGCTTTTCAGTACAGTATGGTCACCTCTAAAACAACACCAGCAGGTCTTTTCGCTGGTGGGATTTCTTGCACCATTGCAACAGTCAAACGTTTGATTAGTTAGATATAAACATTGAAGCTGCTTCCAGCTTGTTGCTTTAAATATTCACTCTGGTGTGATTATATAACATATAAATTCAACTGATAACCGCTGTGGAAAATAAGTAGGGAAAGAAGTCAACAACAACAATAATGTTCATTTGATTCATTTGTAATTAACGTGTTT